TAATTTTCCCTCACTCACCTCTGGTAGCACAGTGGTCAAAGTGCTCGGGTGCCAACCAAAAACTCAGTAGTTCAAACCTGTCGCAGCTGTTCTGCAGGAGAAACATGGGGGAGTCTACTTCCACAAAGATTTGCAGCCTTAGAAACTCTGTGAGGGCAGTTCTGCTGTGTCCTATAGGGTTGCTATGCGTGGGATGATTGGATGGCAGTGGGTTTGGTTTTGGTTTTGTTATCTAATTAGTGATTTTCCTCCCCCTCTCCTCCCTGGTAATCATCAAAGAATGATTTTTTTTCTGTGTGTAAACCTTTCCTTGACTTTTTATAATTGTGAACCCTTGAAGTATTTGTCCTTTGGTGATTGACTTATTTCACTCAGCATAATGTCCTTCAGGTTCCTTTACATTATGAGGTGTTTTGTGGATTCTACATACGTTACTCTTTAATGTTGCTTAATATTCCATTGGATCTCATGCTCTCTAAAGTGGAAGGTCAACGAAAGAGGGGAAGGCCCTTAACAAGAGGAGTTGACACAGTGGCTACAACCGTGGGCTCAGATATAGCAGAGATCATGGAGCTGGCAAAGGACCAGGCAGTGTTTCGTTCTGCTGTATGTAGGGTCGCTATGAGTCAGAGATGACGCGACAGCACCTGACAACAACAATAGACAACAGTATTCCACTGTGTGTATGTACCAGTTTGCTTATTCATTCATATGGTGATTGACACTTAGGTTGTTTCCATCTCCTTGGCTATTGTGAATAAGGCTGCAGTGAACATGAGTGCACATATATCTATTCATATCCTGCCTCTTATTTCTCTAGGATATATACCTAGTATGGGATTGCTGGATCCAGTGATATTTCTATTTCTAACATTTTAAGGAAACACCATACCATTTTCCACAGTGGTTGTACCATTATACAGTCCCACCAGCAGTGTATCAGAGTCTCAGCATTTGTTATTTTCTGTTGTTGAACTTTGCTATTAGTGCTGGGGTGAGATGATACGTCATTGTTATTTTTATTTGGATCTCTCTTATGGCTAAAGATCATGAGCATTTCTTGTCCACCTCTGCTTTTCTCTCTGCTGTCCAGTAGAGAGGTCCTTGAGAGAGTCAGCCTTCTCATCTCAGCATAGAGGCCATCAACAGGTACTGATCCCTTACTGGATCTCTTTTGTGGGGTTGAAGGCACTTACAAAATTGGTGAAATATCATTAACCCAAATAGTGTACGTTGTCTGAAATTCCTGCAGTTCTGGCAACAATGGGATATTTTGAAGCCTGGATCTCTCCATACATTTCATTTTCCATTAACTGATGATGATGAAACAGGTGATTAAGCCAATGCATTTTGACCATGTGTTGCCCTATACTTGATCTCTATTTTATTTAAAACAATTTTCAGTCCTCCTTAATGTAAACCAAAAAATAAGATCCTTCTGTTTACTTTAATGGTGAGTAGTTGCATCTTTGGTTGTCTTAGAAATTACTTTTTAAAGGTATGAGAAACCTTTATATACTAAAAGTAAAATTTCCTAATTTTACACTGCCTCAGAAAATTCAGTAAACTCATTTGAGGAAAGGAGGGAGCAAAGTCTGAATTGGAGGTAGTATTAAAGATAACATACCTAATGTGCATTTTAACAGAGACCCTAAAGTCTCATAAAACTGGACTGTAATCAGAATATATGCTCAGCTGCAAGCATTTCTGTCAGAACTCAGAGTTGTGACTCTGCCTTGCTTCCTGCTGGCTATTGAGATGTGACACGAAGAATGAAGAGCACGGACTCTGGAACTGGCCTGCCCAGAGAGGAACCTTGGGCAAGTCACACACCTCTCTGTTGTCAGGTTCCCCATCTGGAAAACGGGCAGAATGCTAGTGCTCTGTCCAAGGGTTCTGTGGGGATCAGATAGGCCCACAAGAGCAGGGCCAGCACAGCGTGAGCACAGTGGAAGGATTACTTCTGGAACCACAGTGTTAAGTGCCTGTCTTTTGGTACTGGGCAAACTGAGCTCGTTTTATTGGTTAAGAGCTCTGCCATCTTCCTAGAAAACATCATAGGCACATGAGTATTTGTTCAAATGGCTCAGGTGAATGCTTCATGAGCTGCCTTTCAGAGGTTATGAAATAGAGCTTTGGAGAACGCAGTCTGTCCTTCTGATGGCTGCATCCCATGTCCTTTTCCTTTCCAGGAAAAGGGGTGGTGAGAACAGGAGGTCCGATGGATGAGTGACAACATTCCTCCACTCACATAAGTGGGACACACAATTTATGGTCAGCAGTCAATGAATTCCATGTAATGTATTTTATTTTTTGTTGTTAAGAATATACATAGCAGAACATACACCAGCTCAACAATTCCTACATGTATAATTTGGTGACACTGATTACATTCTTCGAGTTACTCAACTCTTCTCATCCCCTTTTGTTCACTGGCATTTGCACTAGTGTTACGTTGTTGCTGGTTGCCATCAAGTTGGCTCCAACTCAGAGCAACCTTGCATATAACAAAGCATTACCCGGTCCTGTGCCATCTCCATGATTGCTGGTATATTTGAGTCCTTTGTTGTGGCCACTGTGTCAGCCCATCTCACCAACGGCCTGCTTTGCCTCAGCTGACCCTCAACTTTACCAACCCTGATGTCCCTTTCTAGCACTTGGTGTTTCCTAAGGTGACCAAAGCAAGCAATCCAAAGTCTCACCATCCTGCTTCCAAGGAGCATTCGTGGTTGTATTTCTTCAAAGGCTGATTTGTTCATTCTTCTGGAAATCCACAGTGCATTCTATAGTATTTGCCTATACCACAGTTGGAACACACAAATTCTTTTCCTGTCTGTTTCGTAGTCCAGATTTTACTTGTATATGAGATGGTTGAAAAGACCATGGCTTGGGTCAGGCTCACCTTAGTCATCAAAGTGGTGTCTAGCTTTATAATTACAACTACACCAGTGAAACTGAGAACAATGCTCCCTCTGTCCTTGTGTGGTTGTCATCAGGTGAGCCCATGGGGGAATGGAGATAAGTCTATGAGCTGGACAGTGAAGATGTCTGCATTTGAGTCCCTTTTGAGCTAGAAAGGCATATGCTGTATGATAGATGGAGAGAAGTAGGGCACAATGTGTCTGAAGATGTGTTGTTGTTGTTAAGTGCCATCGGGTTGGCCCCAACTCATAGTGACCCTGTATAGAACAGAATGAAGCACTGCCTGGTCCTGCACCAGCCTCACAATCCTTGCTATAGCTGAGCCCATCATTGTAGCCACTGTCAGTCCATCTCATTGAGGGCCTTCCCCTATTTCACTGACCCTCCACTTTACCAAGCATGATACCCTTCTCCAGGGAATGGTCCCTTTTGACAACCTGACCAAAGTACATGAGATGAAGTCTGGCCATTCTCACTTCCAAGAAACAATCCAGCTGTACTTCTTCCAGGACTGATTACATTCTACTGGCAGTCCATGGTACTTCAAATATTCTTAGCCAACACCACAACTCAAAAGCATCAGCTTTCCTTCAGTCTTCCTTATTCTTTGTCCAGCTTTCATGTGCATATGAAGCAATTGAGAACACCATAGCTTGGATTAGGCACACCTTAGTCTTCAAAGAGACATCTTTGCCCTTCAGCCCTTGGAAGGGGTCTTTCACAGCACATCACCCAGTGTAATACATTGTCTCATTTCTTCACTGCTGCTTCCATTGGAGTTGATTGTGGAACCAAGTAATATGAAATCTTGGACAACTTCAATCTTTTAATCCATTTATCGTGATGCTGCTTATTGGTCCACTTGTGAGGATTTTCATTTTGTTCATGTTGAGGTTTAATCCATACTACAGACTGTATTCTTTAATCATCATCAATAAATGCTTCAAGTCACCTTAACTTTCAGCAAGCAAGGTTGTGTCATCTGCGTATCACAGGTTGTTAAAGAGTCTTCCACCCATGCCGATGCCACATTCTTCATATAATCCAGCTTCTCAGATGATTTGCTCAGCATACAGATTGAATAAGTATGGTGAAAGGATATAACCCTGATGCACTCCTTTCCTGATTTTAAACCATGCAGTATCCCCTTTTTCTGTTCCAACAGCAGCCTCCTGGTCTATGTACAGGTTCCTCATGAGCACAATTAAGACTGGAATTCCCAGTCTTCTCAATGTTATTCATAATTTGTTGCTATCCATATAGTTGAATGCTTTTGCATAGTCAATAAAACACAAGTAAACATCTTTCTGGTATTCTTTGCTTTCAGCTAAGATCCATCTGACATCAGCACTGGTATACCTCATTCATGTTATTGGTTGCCATCAAGTTGGTCCCAACTTACGGCAACCCTGTGTATAACAGAACAACACATTGTCTGGTCCTATGCCATTGTCACCATTTTAGCCCATCGTTGCAGCCATTCTGTCATTCCATCTCATAGAAGTTCCCCTTATTTTTACTGATCCTCTACCAAGCATGATGTCCTTTTCTAGCAAGTCCAAGACTTAACTAGTAGCTGATCCTTAAACTTGAATTCTACAGCAGTACACTTGATTGAATTTTGGAGGGGCCAGTTTTCTCTCATAATATGTAATATATAATATTTATTAATAACTAGACCGTGTAATCTTTCACTGGACTCTTGGCAATCTCTTTATTGTGCTACATCCATGAATATTTGTTAAAGTATCCCCAACATTTCTCTAAACGGGCTCCACTTCTTCTGTAAGCCCTGCATGTTCAGTGTTCTTCCTGATGGATGACGCTGTCAGCACTCCAAGGAATGAGCTACTAACGTAACATTTGATTCACAGACAGCTCAAAATTAGCTCATGAGATCTTGGGTTCTCTGGTCTTGAGGGCCAGCTCTTTCTGCCACATCTCGACCCTCCCTTTGAACCATTTCCTCTGCACACTTAGGTCTGGCTTTGGACCTTTGTCTTCGTTTTTAATGAAACATTTTTAAGAAATGCCACATTGAGTGAATGCATGGAAAAATTAACTTTTTGCTCTCTTCTTAACAGACAAGAGACGACTTCCTGGGACAAGTGGACGTGCCCCTGAGTCATCTCCCGGTAAGGATGGATGCCACAAGGAATTAATTCTGATTGACAGCACTGGGGAGGGGGATATTTTTAGAGTGGTGTTTCTTCAATAGAATGGCAAGGACTTCAATGAAGGGAGTGTAATTTGACCATTGTTCCTGTGGGCTTTTCACAGGGGTGAAAAGAGGCTAGTTCAGTGGTGAAAATCAAGTTCATTGTATCTGAATCAGCTCAGCCTTCCTGTCTATATCACCGACTCCTTTGTCTACTCCTCTCTACTTCTGTATGTCACATCTTATAAAACCACCACTTCTAGCAGACCCCTCCTTCTTGTCCCTGTCGTGTCTTTGCTTCCGAATTCATCCTTTGGGTCTAATCAGACACTTGTTCCCTTCATCTAGACATGTACGTGCTGTTCTCTTGGGAAATAACTATATATACAAGCTAGATTTGGGGTTGTGGCTTTCTCAGACAGCATGAATTCAGAAGAAAAGATGTTCTTTTATTCTGAGTGAACCTGTCAACTGGAGGCAGCCACCCTAGCTTCAGAAAATGTCCTACATTAGCATATGTGGGGTTGCTACCATTTTTCTGTGCTCCCATGAGAAGCAAAACAGTTGGGGCTACTGACTAGTAGCTGAGGTTCAAGGAGCTGCTGCACACTCTATAGGCAATTGATAGACAGTGTGGACAGCACTCAGAGGCCTTGGTGAAAGGTAAATTATCTTGTATTCCAGCTTCCATTTTCCACATTGTTCCATTCCTTCCCTCCTGGTCCTTCTTGCCTGGCCAGCACAAAGTGATATAGGTCAAGTCGCTGGTAAGAGACCATACATCAGATGTTTCTGCCTTACAAGATCGTTTTGTGACTTTTTTTAACACTCCATGTGAGCAAGTTGCATAAATAGTCCTTAAACTAAAATGACTTAAACCAATAGTATATGCCGAGTTGTGCATTAAAATTGTGGCTGTTACCATATGTTAAAAGCCAAGAAAACCTGTATCTTAACAGGAAGCTTTGAAGATGTGTTGTGAAGGTATCTGATAGAGAGCAATTTCCACGTGTTGACTCAGGGGAGCTATTAAGAAGTGAAGGTTTCAAGTGTGTTCCCTTCCAAAGAAATTGAAGCTAAAATGATATTAAAATATTTTTGTTTGTTTTTATGTAAAAACCTGAAGCTCCGTGATGCCTAGGGGAACATGTGGTACTCCTGTATGAGACAGATTCCACAAGCCATGAGAAGCCTGCTTATTTTTTAAAAGTCACACTGAAAGGACCTGACTGTGTCAACCTTTGAAAAAGAAAGACGACACATTTCCATATCATTATGTCTTCTGTGTGTGCTCTTAAGTTTGAAGCTGACATAAGAAGTTATAATCTGTACATTTTTAGAAAATGCTTAGTTGCCCAGTCTTTTTGTGGGTGTCTCCCTCACCCCTGACCCTTTTCTCTAACATAAAAACGAAATCTTAGCCAAGGCAAATTATTTACTAATATTCTGTAAAGAGTCATAAGTGAAATTTTAAATAACTTGTGCCAACAAGCCCTTGTTTGAGTGATTGAGTAGAGATGGGTTGGACAGGACGCCCAGAAAGTAAAAGAATGTTCCTGTTCAGAGACTGAATTAGAAGAGGGAATAATTTCAGCCTTGGGTTTTAGATGGAGACAAGGGTAAGCTTTCAAAGAAGAAAGTGGGGCCAGGGCTCAAGGCTAGCATAGAACTGCCACCAGATTAAAGAAGGTGAACCATGAATGCTTAGAGAGGACTGAGTACTGCTACGTGAGCTGAGCCGAATGAGGAATAGAACCTCCCAATTTCACATGTGCCCAAAGATTACCTTTAGGGAATGCCATTGTGTCTATAGTGAAAACTGACTAGCCCTTTGGAGCCAACTCCAACCAGCAAGATGGACCACAAAGGAAACATAAGGGGAGGGAGGGGTAAAGACGCGTCCTTTATCTTCCCCGCGGTGGTAGGAACCAACTGGCGTCTTCTGAATGGGCAAGGCCCTGGGGCCTAGGGTTTGAGGTGCTCTCATGTACATTTGATCCTGTGTGTGGGATCCTCATGGGAAAAATGCACAGTAAAGGAAGCCCCTCCCTCATACAGCTCAGGAACGCCATCCGGCGCAGCAGCCGCCTAGGACAGCTGAGCTCTTGAAATGTGGTTATGTGACTCAGAAGCTGTGTTTTTCATTTTGTTCCGTTTCAGTTCATTAAAATTTCCATTTAAACAGCCACGTGTGGCAAGTGGCTACCATATTGGACGGCATGTGTGATCAGACCAGAGTTCCCTGTCTTCAGCCAAAAACGTGTGATTCAGGGTTCCCTTTTCCTTAGTCTTCTAAAGGAGGAGTGGCACAAGGGAGTAAACCCCAAACCCACCAGCTTCGCTTTGTAGGTTTTTCACTCAAGGATGTTTTTCCCCTCCTGAGGCTGTTTCTCCCTAGTTCTGCCTATCTAATACACCAAGAGTATTTAATTTCGCTGGGAAGGATCTCAAATTTGCAATCATGGGAATTAAGTTGAAGTCTTTTTTTTAATTACTGATTTTAAAATTTGTATTAGCAAGCAACTGAATTGCCCGTGCCTCCATGATGACACACACACACATATATGTACTTTTATAAGGCATTTTAAACCAGGGCTTTGGCTTTAACTTGTCCCAAGATGCCATAAACTTGTCTAGAGTGGGTGTGTGCACACGTATGCACGCGTGCATAGCTGACCCCCTGCCTTGACTCGACTGCACAGATCACCACACTGAATGGAATGCTCCTTTTCTAAACCTAAATGATCTTTTTTCTAAAGTGGACTTTTTTGCCTTTGGTTCCTTATATTTCCCTCTTCTAACTTACTATTTTCCCATAAACTACTTTTAACTTAATCATCAGGTCCCTGTTAAGTTTCAGCACTTATGAATGAAATACCTAGGAAAACCTTTCACATCTACCTTTTCCCGACTGTAATGTTTCCTAGGATAGATGGATATTTTTGAGAAAAATTAGGAACTTGGTAGCATAGATTAAAGACCACAGATCTAAACTAGTGTCATCTCTTACGATTGCTGAGACGTTTCTTTTTCACTTCAATATCTATTTTTTGTTTTGTGTGTGCCTGTGCGTGTATGTGTTTGAAAAGGGACCACTGTTGTGCCAGTAATTGATGTTGCTGAGTGACCATCCCTTGCTGATATTGTAAGGAGCCTGGGTGGCACAGTGTTCAGCTGCAAACCAGAAGTTCAGCGGCTTTACCCCACCAGCCATTCTTTGGGAGAGAGGTGGGGCAGGTCCTTCTGTCTTTAGGGTTGCTATGAGTTGGAATCCACTCAGTGGCAGTGGGTTTGGTTTAGGGGTTTCTTGCTGATATATCAGAAGCTTATTGGTCAGTTATCAATATTGGATATTGGTGTTTGCAATGTAAAGCCATGCTTTCACATTCTTCAGAGTGGCTGTCCTAAGTGTCCCTAAATGGCAGTTCCAAATTCCTGACCCAGTGAAACCTACCAGAAACACAGGAGGTTCAGAACATCCCCACCTCTCGGTGGCCTCCCCTGAGTATGGATGACACAGCATTAGAGCATCTTGAATCTGGCCTGCACAGCTCCTTCTCACCCCACTGCCAAATAGTGGGCACCTGGAATAATTCCGTGTCGTACTGGGCCTTGTGTGCCATTGTTTGAGATTCCAAGTTGGAACTCTGCCAATGAGTCAAAGTGAATGGAGAAGGTGGGGCAAAGAGAGTTGATTGAAGCCAGTGTGTACTGTGTGTGTTAAGAGAGTCATTACCTCAGTTATCTATGACAGTGGTTAAAGAAGGCACCTATCAGCTCTGTAATTATCTGCAGAAAGAGTGCAGAACGATAATGTGAGAAAATCAACTTCTTTTCCCCCTTTGATCATGGTTCCCTCAGTGCTTTGAAGATAAGAAATGCTTCTAGATAAAAGAAAATGATTTCAGAGTTGTGACTCACTTTTATTCTTGGCCTCAAACTTAATTCTCCCAGTTTTATCTCTGGAAAAATGGACAGGAAATGGGATTTAAGGAGTCTGGAACAGTAGAGACCTGTTTCCTTGGCTCTGTTCCAAATGTGCCACTTGACTTTAATGTTTCTCTTTCTTTTTGTATGTTTTTGAGGAGAGAGTGAGTAAAAGAAGGGGCACCAGGGAAGAGCAAAAAAAGTTTAGTAGGGTGACTATTATGCAAGTCAGAGGAAATACAAATCCATGCTAAGTCTCCAAAGATCAAGGCTTACAAGACTTTACATGTAGGGAATCGTTGACTGGTACCTGGGAGGTGGGTGAGATGCCTCACGCTGATCCTGGTTAGCCCAGTAACCTTAATCAAGGTAGTCCTCTCTGCCCACTGTTTGCTCACGTGTATAATGAGGTCACTTCTACGATGATGGCAAGTTTCCATCCAGCTCTGTGACGCACATCATAGCTGTCCCACATAATCCACCAAGCAGAGGTACCACTGACTGTGATGATATGCCATGTTACCTAGGAGATTTCAGCAGGGTGGTGTGCCAGAGGAAGGTGGAGGAGATGGGAGACTAATAGGAAGGAAGTTGTCTCCCTATCAACCTGACACCTGTACTATAGCTTAAAAAGAACCCCTTTTTTCTTTTAAGTTGGGGCTTCTAGACCAAAAGGAGTTGTGTGTTAACTGTATTATTACTCTTGATTTATCTTAAACTGCTATTTTTACATTTGCTTGTTAAATTCAGTGTATCGTGTCCAAAGGTCATGCAGGATTTTATAACTTGTGTGTATTAATTGTTTAGGGACAAAAATACCCCCTCAAGACCTGTATTAACAGCAGAATGAATTTTCTGAAACGTATTTGCCTATCTAGAATATTTCTTGCTTCTTCTTTTGTTAGCAGACTCACCCCTGCCCAGTTAAAAAATCTCTATGTCAGTGAGAAACTAGGACAGGGGCAATGATTTAAAAAAAAAAAACCTTAATTTCTCCAGTTTTCTATATTTTTTATTCAGAGAGCTTTGTCAAGTAGTACTCAAGGCAAATTTTGAAGTTTTGTTTTCTAGCATGAGTCACTTTCAGGGTGGTGAGATAGCTGGGCATGATAGTTGTACTAGAAGGTAATTAAGTTGATCAGCTTTCTTTTGTTACGGTGGGTGGTAAGCCACTGAATTGATTCTAATTCGTGGAGACCCTATATGACAGAGCAGAACCAAGGTGGTAAGTCTTTACTAAAGGCAAACTGCCATATCTTTGTCCCACATGGTGGCTAAGTGGGTTTGCTGACCTTTGGGTTCCTAGCCAAGTACTTCAGCACTGCGCCACCCAGGGCTCCTTACTGTTCTTTCATCTGTTATGTTTACAGCTTATAATAAGGTTCCCTGTCACAGTGCAGAATTCATTGTCACAGAGCTTGGAGGGGCCTTAGAAAGGCTGTTCATCCTTTCCCCTTAGCCTATGAGTGAGGACTCTGGCCCAGAAAAGGAGAGTGAGTAGCCCAGAGGTCAGCGGGTCAAAGGCAGTGCTGGACCACACCCTGAGTCCCCAGCATCAGTGTGCCTGAAATGTAGTCAAAGGCATGGAGGACTGGACATGGCCTAAGACTTAGGTGCTTGTGGTCACATTCAGGTTTTGAGTTTAAGGGTCTTGATAAGACCCTCCCCTCCCTTGGCCTGCAGAACATCATTTTACCACATGTCATAGTAATTGCAATTCTGCTGAAAGCAGCTACTCTCTTTAGGATAAAAGCACTGTGTATCCCAAAGATTCCTGTTTGGATGCTTATGTTATGGAACAAGCAGCAGCGGCATCCGTTCTGGCCAGCAGTGTTGGTAACGTCACGTTTGAGATGACTCTCAGTGCGTCCGCTGGGCTTTCCTCCAGGGGACCTGATCTGTTTCTGTAAAGATGACAGCCTAGGAAACCCTATGTGGCAGTTCTCTGTCATATGGGGTTGCTGTGAGTCAAAAATTGACTTGATGGAAACTAACAACCACAATATTTTATAGAAGCAGAGCACCAAGGCTTTTCTGATGCAGACCCACTGGAAGGTTTGAACTGGCAAACTTCAATGAATGATGGTGAATTTGGGGGCCTTGGAGATTTACTATAGCTTCAGATGAATTAATTGCTTGCTTGACTGCCTACTTGACAGCAGGCAATGATGTTGGCACTGAGGATACAATAGTGAGCAAATCTAAATCTCTGATCCCATGAGCTTTCATTCTGGAAGTGATGATGTTAAACTGGTAAATAAATGAACACAAGCACTGCAGATTGTGATCAGGGGAGGATAAAGCAGGGTGCTGTGATAGAGTGTGATAAGGCTAGGCTCATTCATGTTGGTGGCTTAGGTTAGGATTTCTGATGATGTATTCTGGCATCTGAGACCTGCGTGGCAGAATGAGAACAGCCATGGGCCATCTGGAATCAGAGCTGTCAGGCGAAGGGGACTGCTACTTCAGTTTGGCCCTAAAGCAGGATTAGATGTGATGTGCTCATGGGACACATCATCCAGGATGGTTGGAATGTAAGGAATGAATGAAGAGACAGGTCCCCAGTAAGATTAAAGGTAGTTAAGAGCCAGACCATATTTGACATTGTAGGCCATAGTAGAGAACTTTCATTTAACCATAAGAGCAGGAAGAAGCCAGTGGGAATTTAAAAAGCAGGAAATGACTTAAGCAGATTAACATTTCAAACGAAAGCACACACACGTTATAATAACAGGTCATTATGGTATTGGTTTGTCTCTCTCCATGTTGTCGTTGTTGTTATGTGCCTTTGAGTCAGACCTGACTCGTAGCAACCCCTCCTTGGGTTTCCGAGGCAATATCACTACGGAAGTAGATTGCCCCATCTTCCTTACGAGGAGTGGCTGGTGGGTTTGAACCACTAGCCTTCAGTGCCTTAGCCACTATGCTACAAGAGCTCCCTCTCTCTCCATACAAAAGTAATTATTTTAAATTCTTTAATTGAAGAGTGTAGGTATCTGAGGTTTTACTACACATGGATAGTATTTAAAAATTAATGAAATATTAACATTTGCTTTTCCAATTTCTTGCTGCTTTGATCAACCAACTTTTCACAGTAAAATGAATACTGACTTCTTCTAAAGTGAACAAAAATCACAAACTTCATCCCTACTGTCCAGACCTAGTACCAGCAAAAGGTGGTCGATGATGTTGCCTAGAGTCTCCTTAAAGGAGATAAAGAAAAATTGCCTCAAATATTCAAGATCAGATATCTTAAATATTTCCTTGTTAACTCTGTTTTTAGATGTCTTGAGTCACAGAGATAGCCAGTCCCTAGTACCCACTGGGACTCAGAGATTGTCAGCTCTGTGAGAATGGAGGCCTATACCCTGCAGTTAGAAATTACAGCTGGCAGTGACGACTGTAATTTTGTCATTTGTCCATGGCTGGTGTTGGCTCCTAGAAACTAATGTTGATGGTGACATCTAGTGGATCTTATAGATAAAGCTGTCAGTGACCTATCAGATGTTTAATTAATTGTCAGGTCCTGGTTGTGAAACCAGATCTCTTTTCACCGTGGCCATGGTCTACATGTAATATGAAAACATTTTCTGTGTAATCTATTTGGTGTATCTACAATATATGACTGTCAAGGATGTTGAAACTTAATTTACCTCTCCTTTCCGTAGACAGAAGATCCAACCATGGAGCGACCCTACACATTTAAGGATTTTCTCCTCAGACCAAGAAGGTGAGGCTTGAGTATCTACGTGCATGTGTGGGTGTGTGTTTTTCCATATACTTTGGTTTTCAGTTTTTCTGAGGAAGATTTCAACTCCTTGTTATATTTCTTCTCACACACACACACACAAAAAAAAAACTCGCATACTCTTTTAAGAACTATCTCTATGAGATCAAATTGTTCATGGGGGAAGAACAACTCAGAAAAGGAGGGAACAGTTGCCCAACCTGAAGAATGTAAGTGACGTGACTGGATGGTACATGTGGAAATGATTGAATTGGTATGTGTTTCTCACCAACAAAAGATGATTTTTCTCTAAAGTCATCATAAATATGAAAGCTATAGTCAAGTCATATCCTTTATAACAAACTTTCTTCCATTACACAGTCACAAATCTCGAGTTAAGGGATTTTTGCGATTGAAAATGGCCTACATGCCAAAAAATGGAGGACAAGACGAAGAAAGTGGTGAGCAGAGGGACGATATGGAGGTAAGTCACAACCCTGCTCACTTTTCCTCGCCTCCGGCCATATTGATATTTTCCTTCTGGACTTGAGTCTGTATAACTTAAGGAAACAAAACTTTACAAAGGTTAAATGTAGAAAAGCATACCTGTGTCCGTAATCCATGTCTTACAGAATCTACCGATCTGTTTTAGTTTTGAAAAAGATGACCTCATCATTCTGTGTTACAGCACTAATCATTGAAGAGATTCCCTGCCTTCTCTCTTTTATCAAATACTGCCCCCGTAATCTACTGATGACCCCAGCCCTGGGTAAAGTTCTCCTCACACGCTAAATTCTATTGCTTTGGACTTTGAGCTCTTTGTAAATTCCTCTTACCAGTTGACATTCCTTCAAAGTGGATAACATGAGTTAGAAAATCTTTTCCAATTTTCTTACTCCTTTGGCACACAGGTGATAGCATGCATTGGAAAAGCCTAGTCTAAAAAGGTCATTTGGGATGAGTTGTCCAGAGAATTTCCCTTCTTGGCTTAATTGCCTTGTAGCTTTCTAGTCATCTACTAAGACCTAGGTCCCATGAAACCTTGTCAGCACCCCTCAGTCAGTGCTGTTTTGTTAGATTCTCAGATTGTTCTGAAAATTCCCATTCAACAAGGGTTCTCTACGGCTCCTTTCCACATGTTTGCAGCTGTTGCATATACGTGACCTGTAAATAATGTGTTATGGGCAAATCCATTGAACCCCCCTCTGACTGAGAGGTCCTGTTTCCAAGCAGTATTTCTTTTGTGAGCTTTAATCTCTCCCTCTTTGTGAAGCAGAGTGAAGTGGGTGGTAGGCATTTCTGAATGTTAACATTTCATAAGCCCATGAACAGATTTTTTTCTCAAATCCAAGTCATTTTTCACATTCTTTAGCCTTCCAACTGCAGCAACCAGTGAAGTACTTGATTTTCCAGTGACTTTACTGGGGGATATTAGGAAAGGAAGACGTAATGCCTAAAATATGCGTTGCAAAAATGTCACTGCAGCTCTGGTCCCATGAAGCCTGTTTATGTGGTGGCTGTAACAAGTAGAAAGCAGCTCCCAGATGTCATCTGTTCCTGACAGTGCTCTCGATGAATAGTGGGCTCCTTACTGCCTACCAAGGGCCCTCGGTGCCATCCTTCATGGGAAGCAGTAGTGCTCTGGGCCTCTGGGGTCACCATGCTGGGGTTCTTGCTAGTATACGTGGCAGTATGGCTAACTTCTCCAGCTCCCTTTATCTCTTTGTAGGTGTTGAAAAGATAGCACTGTGATGTAACACATGTTGTTGGCACTGCTTTGTGCAGTCAGAGTAAACCAATTCCATCTAGCCAATTCCAACTCAGTAGTGACCCTATAGGACAGAGTAGAACTGCCACATAGAGTTTCCAACGCTGAAATCTTTATGGAAATAGATTGTCACATCTTTCTCCTGTGGAGCACCTGGTGGGTTCAAACAGCCAACCTTTCAATTGGCATCTGAGCACTTTAATCATTGTGCCAACAGGTATCCTTCACAGTCGAAATAACAAACATATGAAGTCTGAACAGAGTAGAATGTGATGAACTTGAGTAACTTAGCAGACTGTGTGGATCCCAACCCAAATCTGTGTTGCTCCCTGCAACGTAGTCACCTTAGAAGACAGCACAATTAGTTAACCATTGCTCAAAATACTTTTAGAACTCTTGCCAAACTGATTTTTACCCTTTTGTGGGAAGTTCCTCACTTTTAACACATATAGGCATTGCAAGAGCCAAAGTGTAAATAAGCAGGGAGGACAGTCACAGAAGGCTCTGTGATCGTCTCCTCGCATCTTCAGAACCAACCTTGTAACCACCCGTTTAATTTTATTCCACAGCATGGCTGGGAAGTTGTTGACTCCAATGACTCGGCTTCTCAGCACCAGGAAGAACTTCCTCCTCCTCCGTTGCCCCCCGGGTGGGAAGAAAAAGTGGACAATTTAGGCCGGACCTACTATGTCAACCACAACAACAGGACCACTCAGTGGCACCGACCGAGCTTGATGTGAGTACCATTCAACAGTCGGGAACACATTGTCACTCTCTACAGAATCAGGTACAAACATGGCACATCTTGTGACTCTCACCTGTGCAAAAGCTCATGGTAGTGTAGCACAGCCAGGCTCCTCTTCATTAAGGTAGGAGCCCATGGTGCAGTCAGGATTTGTGTTTTTAAAAAGGAAGATTCTCTTGCCTTCCTATCACATTCTACAGTTTAATATATGAACTAGTTACAGTTTGACTTTGTCAGATTCATGAAATCTAAAGCTGAAGTTATTTTTCCTAGATTTACCTTATCTTTGGGGATTACATGGCTCCTTCTCAGCTTTCTGTCCTGAATCAAGCCAGAGAAGAAAGCCAGAAGCAAATTGGATTTGCCTTTTTCTGCTTTCCTAACCTTTTTTGAATTTTTATTCCCTTAGATTATTTAATTTGGGAGCTCTCTCAAAAACTTTTTTTTTTTTCTCCTTTTTGGGAAATTATGTATCACTCTGTCATATACTTAGAAGCACAGTAAGAGGATTGTAAAAATCAAATTAGTAATTACTGTTTATTCCAGGACCTCAAACCAGTTCAAACCATTTCAGTCATGGCTGATGTGGCAAAATCGGAACAAACCTGAGTATTTTGAAATTCGGGTGAAGCAGAGTAATAACCAGACCAGAAAAAATGATAGGTTGAAGCCCTGGAATGGGAGTCTCAGAAGAGGTGTAGTGAGCCCTTTTAGGAGCCTGATGCAGGAGATTGGATTATTGGCAGGACTATAGAGAGTGACACACATTTAAAGCAGCTGGGTTGGCTGCCATCTTTGAGCAGGGCACCGCTGTTTCTGACTCTGCAATTCAAGAGACTTGGTTGTTATGCAACACACATGCTGCCCTTGTTTTCCAAGAGCATGGTTAGGTTTCTAGCAGGGTGTCAACTTAGAATTTTTCCCATTCTGGTTATTGTTCTGATACACCCACATTTTCCAAATTTGGATCCATTCTGCTTTCACTTCATTGGCCATGACTGAACAAGCAAGAACCAGTTGGAAGCCCTATTTTATTCTAATCCTTTTCTAGCGTCAGGCATTCAGTGAACTGATTATTGTTTTGTTCACTTGGTTTGGAGTATTTCATGGTTTGAAGATAACAAACACTAGTTGAAAACCTCAACTCCTGTAACAAAGGATTTGAACTTGTTGTTAAGTGTAGTATACAACAAGACCTAAAACTGTCAATATACAATAAAATGCAGTATTAAAAGAAGAAAAGGGAAAAATTATTCTAGAAATCATGAGCTTCCTAGAAGCCAAGACAAGAATAATAAAATTTTTAATATGTCATAAAAGGAAGTATAATGCAGTTGAGATTTTATATTTTTCTTTAACCAAAACTTGAAGTTTGTTAATGATAATGATGTCTTTTAACCAAGTGACATTAGCATTAAAATGGATGAGGTTCTGGATAACCATTTTATCTTTAAAAATTTCAAAGATATGCTGTATAGGACTGTAGGTGTTTTGGTGGCCGGTGGTCTGGTCTGCAATTCAAAAGAAGTTACTTAATTTAGAGATAAAGTTTGCAAGTTCTGGATCAACAAATGGCCAATCCTACTAAGCCCCTACATGGGTTCTTGTGAATATCAGCTGGCTGGCTGATCAGTTAGACTGACCACCGTGAACACTGGCTCCTTATTCCCTAGCAGGCATCTGAAAGTCAGTATCGATAGCGTAAATATTAGAAGATCCCGGTATTGTAAAACTATGCTTTATTTTATTTTTCCATATAAATACAAATGGAGATGGTACAGTTGATCCTTTTTAGTCTTTTATCATTGCTATTTATGTATGTATTTTATATTTTGCAGCTTCCCTTTGGTTGATGCCCACAGCGGTTAAATCTATTATAAGCCATTTGACTATTCTAGCCATTTGTATAGTAAAACCAACTTTGGACACATCTTAGGCTTAATTACGTGTAGTGATTAGACTTGGTAGCAAAGCAACATGATCTAACTTTGCTGGACAACTTAAGAAAAGAATATCTGAAACCATAGCACTCTGGACACCAGAGTGTCACATAACCTCTATGGAAAAATAATCATTAGCAACACACAAAGGAAGAGATATGAATAGCCAGTGCATGTATGGAGAAATGTTAAACTTTACTAACGATGAACACCCATGCAGAGTGAAGTCTGTATCAGGGAACAACCAAACCAAACCAGATCCACTGCTTTCAAGTCAGTTCTGACCCATAGCAAGCCCCGTTGAGTTTCCAAGGCTATAAATCTTTACAGATGCAAACTGTGCCTCATCTTTCTTTCATGGAGCAGCTGCTGGGTTCAGACCACCAACCTTCTGGTTAGCAGCCAAATGCTGTAACCACTATATCACCAGAACTCCTTATATCATGGGAATGAATGGGGAGAATGATTACTTTATCTACCTCACAGATTTGTGGTACTCTAATGAGGGAATTCCTGAGAAAACACTTCAGACAATGGTTCAGCATACTATCTTTTCTTTATCTTTCTCTCCAAAATCCGAAACAAAGCCAAAGATATCTTGTTTAATGCTAGCTCATAAGTAGTATAGGACCAGCAAGGAAAATAGGTAGTTCTTAATCCCAGTTCAGGTTCACAGGCAGTTTAAGGAGAAGACAGTGTGTGAGTGTCTGCATTAATGAGGCAACAGTACCAAAGAGATAGGCTGAGCCAGGAAAGACGTCAAGAACAGGAGAGCCTTCCTGTCCAAAAGGCGTGCCTTCTAGAAAGCAAGAGAAAATTTAGAGGATAAAGAAAAGGAGATGTTTCCATAGCAACCTCTTCATCCCGTTGGAACTGCCTGAACATTCAGAGTTCTTTCTTCTTAACTTTCTTTGGTTTGGCCAGAAGCCCTTGGGCCTCCTGAAATTATTTTTTTTTAAGAATTCTTTTCATTCAAAAATAATTTTTTCATTGTTCAGTTTTCACTGAAAGCCACAGCCACCTTGGGAGGAAAATTGATGTGGTTAAGACGTGTCTTTTATTAAGAGGCTGTTTTCTGAGGAAATTAGATAGTGACTACCATGTGCTAAGCAAACCATAAGACTGACCTTAAGGACTTATCTCTTGCCTGGTTTACTGCTGTGACTTGACCTCCCTCTAGCCTCATGCCCCAAACCCCAACCCACTTATGGACCTTCATAGACTTCCCATTGCCTTCCATACGTGATTACGAGGCCTTCTCCAGCTTTGTCTCTTGATGGTCTCATCATCCATAGACATAAACATCCAGTTCAGGCAGTGGCCAGGTCACACATAGTTGCTTTTAGATTACGCTCTCTTGTTCCTAGGCTCCATGGATGTGTTAGTGCCCTACCCCCCCCCCCACCCACAGACACCTCAAAAGGAAACCCTGGAACCCTTCCAGTAGCTAACTTCAGATCTCAACTTTGCTCTGGAGAACTTGACCTCTTCTGTGCCCAGCTCTAGTCTAGGTATCTTTTTCCAGATATCCCTGAAAGCTTCCTGTTTCTCTTTTCAGGACTGGTTCTCACTCACAATGTGCCCCTAGTAAACCTAAAGCAAACCCATTGCTGTCGAGTCAATTCTGACTCACGGTGAGCCTGTAGCGCAGAGCAGAACTGCCCCAGAGGGTTCCAAGACTGTCGTCTTTACAGAAGCAGACTGCCGCATCTTTCTGCCCAGCTGATGGGTTCAAACTACTGATCTTTCAGTTGGTAGCTGAGCACCTTAACCACTGTGCCATCAGGGCTCTTGTACCCCTAGTGCCTGGTGCAGATTAAATGAATGAAAAGTTGAGTGACTTCTCACATAACTGTAGGCACATGGTTTAGTGAACTGTCCAGACAGGCCAAGGTCAGGACTCAGAACTTGAGAGCTGAAAGTGCCCATTGAAGATGCTCCAACCCTTGCAGGTCTGATAGTGTTTTTTAAAACACCCCTAATTTTAATTGTTCCTTATCCTATTAAAATGTTAACTTGATTCTGTAAAACCACAATTATCTAAAATTATGAAGAAATTGTATTACAACATTTTGTAAGTGAAAATGAACTTATTAAACTCAGACATGTTTTTAATCCTATTTATTAACTGTCTTTATAAAAGACTGAATGTGTTCTCCTGCTTAATAGTAATTTAATGGTATCTAGATAAGTCATCATTGGAATCATTCATGTGTTGTGAAGTAAATGATCTGACACAATGGTCTTAATTGACACTGAACTTGATTTCTTGATAAATTTGTCATTTGCGTAATTTCCATGAAAGGCAAATTAAGAACTTACATGGGAAATTAATGATAGAATGAAATTGAAGTAGCCATTTCTTAATTATTTCCTGGCCCTCAATAAAATCATTTTTCTGTTTTCATTTGTCAGCTTAGAAATATTTTTAAATGTTCTAACATCTTTCCGTCAGTAGCCATTTAAACTTCAGTTTCAACAGATCCAATCACTTACTTGCTTAATTAAATGTAAAAGAATTCCCTTACGAACATCGTCACATTATCCGTAAGACCATGAGAGCTGCAAATGTCTCAGATAAAAGGTATCTTGTGTCTTATGCTATTTAGTTGTTTCTGTTTCCCACTGTCAACTAAGGAACCCTGGTAGGGAGCTCTGGTGGCGTAGTGCCTTTAGGCGTTAGACTGCTAACCAGAAGGCTGGAGGTTCAAACCCTCCAGCCACTCCTTGGAAGGACGACAGGGCAATCTACTTCAGTAGAGATACTGCCTCGAAACCTAAGGAGTGGTCACTATGAGTCGGAATCGACTTGATGGCAGTGAGCTTTGGATTTTTTGGTTTGGTGGCTCAGTGAAGGAGCTCTGGTGGTGTAGTTGCTAAGTCATTTGACTGGTAACAAAAGGTTTGGTGGTTTGAACCCACCAGCTGCTTCCATAAAGATTTACAGCCAAGAAAGCCCTGTGGGACAGTTCTACTCTGTCCCAGGGGGTTATGTGAGTGGACAGCATTCCATAACAACCACCACTAATTATTTGGGCTTATTAGATAAGGAAGATTGACATAAATGATTTTGAAACATTCCTTTTTTAAAATCTACCCTTCAAGAATAAAAGACTTTTGTATATTTTTGTTAGATATGAGATATAGACATAGTAATATTAAAACCTGATTCTTCTCCCTCTCTCTCAGAAGTCCTTGTAACAATTCAGGTGTGTGTTAAGCACCTCGTGTAGACTGGGTATGTGGTAGACACTCAGCATTGATTGAAAAAAAACCACAATGGACATTTCAAAGGAAGATTTAAAATTTTGATAAAACCCTTGCATATAAAATATTTCCAAGCCAGGTTGATTACTATACAGTGAAATTGCTTTCATCTTTAATGAAAGTGTAAGAGGTAACAGGAAGCCTCCTTCACCTTCTTAGCCATGACTGAAATGTACCTGTTTCTGAAATGTGTTCTGCCCATTTTCCTTCCAAATGTTTGTCCATCCTACGGTACGTTCAAGTGAATTCCTATAATAATTCTGTGCTTGAGAATTGAATGCCGTATAAAAATGACCTGGACAACATAAAATCACAGAGACAGTGTTACATTTTTTAACATCCCCAGCAGGAGGTCATTTTTAATCATTCTCTTTTAATGATTTCATTAGTACACTTGTCTCCTTTGATTCAGTAATTTTCTCAGTGGTCAAAATTATGTCATTTGTTCTTAAGATGTCTCCATTTATTCGGTGTACTTTTTTAGTCTAGTCTAATAATTTAATATAACAATAAAATATGCATAAAATTTATTTCTGTTAATGTAAATGCTTGTGTATTGTGTGTGCAAATGCAACAAAACATCATTCCTTCAGATTTTAACAGTAAGAAAACATGATCTAAGTGTGGATCAACCAGAAATTAATCTTTACACTCTCCACTTTTACCATAAAATTAATTCAGCTTCAGAAACTGGCTTTAAAGAGTGACACGGTTATTTTCCAACAGTGATGCTTGTTGTCAGCTGTTGGTTTCTACAAGGGCCCAACAGGCTCTTTATTGGGATCCAGTATGTTACAAGTTGAAGACTATATGTGGAAATTTTTACACCTACATTTTGTTGTTATGTGCCGTCGAGTCAAACCTGACTCATAGAGACCCCTCCTTGGGTTTCCGAGGCAGTATCACTATGGAAATAGGATTGCCCAACCTTCCTTCCAAGGAGTGGCTGGTGGGTTTGAACCTCCAGCTGTCTGGTTAGCAGGCAAGTGTCTTAGCCACTATGTTACCAGAGCT